CGGGCCACGGTAAAATTATCAAAGGCTGACTGGTCCGCGGCGATAAAAAGGTTGGGGACCACTGCTCTAAAGGCAAACATTGCAGGAGAGCGAAGCCTCATTTGCTGAAAGGAGCTCAATTGGCCCAGCTGAGAAAGCAGGCCGTTGGGATATTTTTAACAAGTACAAAAAAATGAAAATTCTAATGCCTAAGAAAACAGAAATACAGCTTGTTTAATCTTTTTTTAAAAAAATATCAAAAGTGGAGATTAGGTAAAAGATCCCAAATGTGTGGAATATCTGAAAAAAAGTTTTTCTCTAGGACTAGGTCCTGGTGAGTCTACCCAGATAACTGTGTGTCTTCCCTTTCAGGTAGATACAACTCAGAATTTATTCTATGTCTACTGCCCAGGCCATCATAGAGACATAAAAATAAGCATACTACTTTGAGTTTAGCTCAGAAACAGAGCAGACTTGACCTAATAAAACGCTATAACAATGATATTATAGGAATGATATGATTGCTAGGATCCCATCCCCAGTGGGCAGTGGCCTCACAGCTGTGTTTCACACCACCTGCAGATTCTAAGCCAGACCCCTTGTAGGATACTTTGTGGTTTCCTGAGCTGGGTAACAATGTTGTCTCTTACCTTGAACTTTTCTTCAGGCTGTTGCATTTTTATATTGAAATAGTTTCCAAGGTGAAGTTGAAAACAGCACTTTTACGAATACTTACTCTTGCACCTATACATAGAGCTTTTCTTTATAAATCCCGATGATAATCTCTCTTTCCTGATATTAAGTTTACTCTGTATATATGGAAGAATGTAGCAAATAGTGACAGATAGGGGGTTTCGTGCTCTTTGAGTAGTCCTCATTAGCTGCATAAATTAATATGCATTCTAATTATCCTATTCTAATTATTATTCTATGCTAATTATTCTTATTCTAATGTTTGTAACAGTCTGTGCCTTTTCCTGCTCTAACTGGATCCTTTTTCTTTGGGGTTTTTTTTTGGGGGGGGGTGATAATCCATAGTTCTTGTTAAGAGCAGATAATTGCGTACCTGTCTTGAGCTGCTTCTTTATTTTTGCATTACACAGGGTGCAGGCTCTGCTGTAATTGATATGGAAAACATGGATGACACCTCTGGCTCTAGTTTTGAAGATATGGGAGAAATGCACCAACGCATGAAGGAAGAGGAGGAAGTAGATGCAGAAGCAGCTGCTGCTGCTGCTGCAGATGAAGAAGATGGAGAATTCTTAGGAATGAAAGGTGTCAAGGGGCAGTTGAGTCGGCAGGTAGCAGATCAGGTAACTGGAGCTCTTATTGGTTTACTAGTGTTCCTCCAATTTGATGACATTTGAACTCGGTAGACTCCTGCTTCCAATATGCTTCTGATTCTAGTCCTCAAGGGGGCAATGTTTTGATTCTTCTTTCATAATGCAGTATTGATTTTAAATTTATACCTGTCTTTTTTACATCAACAATATGTTGATGTACATATTGTATGTATACGGGATACCTTTACCACCCAAAGTCTTGGGAATTTAATAAGAGTCATACCATGTTTATGATACTGTACAAATGATATCATTGTGATTTATAAGTTAGGTTATCATTTGATTCTTAACCATTCAACTCAGGCAATTGTTTGATTAAACGATTATGTTTAATCAAAACATGGTTTAGCATAGTGTATTAACAAAATTGCATAGTCAATACTTACTACTAATTTATGAAAAATTGGTTTTACTTCCTTATCTCAGAAGTAAAGTAAATCTTGTTCATGGTATTAAGGGGGGGGCGGAATGACTCTAGACCTATAGTATCTTTCTATGCATTATAATCCTATACTAAGTAATTCTGCTTTGATGTGGTGTGGTAGAAATGCCCTTGATTTGCAGATTGTTTCTTTTTTAAGTTCTCTAATTCTTCAGAACGAGAAAGGAGAGAATGTTTAATTAATATTTTCTCTTTTTTAAGATGTGGCAGGCTGGAAAGAGACAAGCCTCCAAAGCCTTCAATCTCTATGCTAATATTGATATCCTCAGGCCCTACTTTGACGTTGAGCCAAACCAAGTTCGGAACAGGTAAGCAAGCCTATAAGAATATCAGCTGCCTTATCTATCAGTGCCATTCATAGAGGTGCTGCTTATTAATAGTTCAATTAATAGTTTAATGTGTTAATTACAGAGCTGTCATTGTGATTGAAATCAGTTATCCACCATGATATTGTTTTCTGCTAATGGGGAAAAAAGGCCATTCGATTCCATAAATATTGTTCAGGCTTAGAAGTGGTTTTGGTTTTGTTTTCTATTGAAAATCTATTTCAAGCCTTTTTTCACAAGTGGGAGGGTACTCAAGATATTCTTAGCTCTATTTTCCTTTTTCAAAGAGTTTTTAAAAAACAGAAGATGAAAGAATTACATGCAAAACTATTGAATATTAATTTTCAGTTGTATTTGATTTAGCACTTTTATCTAGTAAATGTTGTTTCAAAGTTCTATTAATCGGTCCTTTATTAATAATTAAAAGTCAGAAATTTCATTTCTGAGTCCATAGCTTCTCTGACCATTGTCTTGATCACATGAAAACAATAAGAAATGCAACTTTATGCAATAAGTTATACCCTTCTCTTCTTTTCCTTGTTTCACCCTAAGGCTTAGTATTGGTATGAGCATGGCTATGTAAAGATTATGTATGGAGAGATCATTTTGCTTATGTTGTATCAGTTCTGGCGTGTTTTTTTTTTTCATAACCTATTTTATTTGCTAAGAAAACCAACAATGTTTAAATGGGATGGTTGCCTAAATAATCAGGTGTTTTCTTTCTAGCTATTAATCTGTACAATCTGTTTTAATTTAGATTGCTGGAATCCATGATACCTGTCAAGATGATCAATTTTCCCCAGGTAAGCTTATTGCTAATGTGAGCTGCCCAAAGTCATTTAGATGAGATGGGTGATCATAAAAATCAAAATCATCCCTATATTACTTCATTTCTTTTCAGCAATA